AATAGGTCAGTAAACTCTTCAATGAGGAGGAGAGGAGAACAGGGAGTTGACTTATTTTACAATATGGAAGACAGTTGATCAGTTGTCTTTTTTTAATAAGAAGAATATAGGTCATTTGAGTACATTGTATTGAATGAGGAATAGGTTCCACTGACTTAAATCTTAACACCAGAAATAAAATCAAGGGCTGTAACTCAAGCAAAATTTTCAAAGTTATACAATAAAGCCAAACTTCTCACTTCTTACCATAAGTTACCTTGCCTTACCTTATCTATACCTTACCTTACCTTATCTATACCTTACATTACCTTATCTATACCTTACATTACCTTATCTTATCTTACCAAAACCTTTCAGGACTAAAGATGGAACAATTAGAGGAAAACAATTTTTTTTTTCATTAAAATGCACATATAAAAATGTTTTTTTATTTTTTTTCAATTATACCCGCTGTAAATGAAATTAATGAAATTTTCTTCAGTTAGAGCCAGGTCACTTTTTGATTTCCCCCAATTTATAATGGCTTTCCAAAATATTTAAATTCAAAAGTTTATACGTCAAGGGTTTTAAAAAAATTTGAAATATTACAAAAAAATTTTAACATAAAGCCCACGTGGGTGACTACAATAGCTCTACTTATACTTATCAAATAGTCGAGCTAAAAAACTATAATAATAGAACATGGCACAGAATAAAATCTGTTCTTGTTTTTGACCTCAATTATTATTTCAAGTTTCTGACAAATTTCAATTAATTACTTCTTGATTTTAAATAATTTACAATAACTGAGACTTACATAATTATAATGCCTTAAAAGTCCTTTTAAATAAATCCACTTGAATAGTTTAAAATATATTTAAACTAAAGTATTTTTGGTTTTAAATGTAGGTAAATATCATATGCTATTTTCAGCTACCAGCTTTGTTAAAATATGATAAAGCAGTCACCTGATAGCATAATTAGCCATGTTATTGCGTTAATTATATCCGGTTAATTATATCTGTTTAAAGCAAATATGTATATAGTAAATGCACGAAAATTACATTAACAATACAAAAAGAGAAATTCTATTGTGGTGTGTGTGTGACTGTGAGGGGGGGTGGGGGGAGGACTAATTATCTGCCAATATCCAATATTTGTTTTGTGTCATATATAGGGGGAAAAATGAGGTAAAAGTGTCAAAAAAAACTTTATACAGTTGGTACAAGATAAACACACACAAAAGTATTTAGTTTTTATTAATAAGGTCATAAACCTGCCCTTCATTAAAGCAATAAATCATTCATTAATGTACCAATGAGTATACTGATAATGACATGAAACAAACTTTTTCATTCTATAATGTACTAATGATACAAGACTTAGTATGTCGAATGAGCTATTAATAAAAATAATACACTTAGTTTTAATACAGAAGTAAGTTCGATCTATAATACCTGTTAAGGCCATTAGGCCTCCCAAAAAATTATCTATTCATTTATAAAACACATTCTTAGTTTAAGTAATATGTAAAAATTTCCATAAAAGTATTTGTTGGCCATATACATATATATTATATCTTAAATATCTTGTATTCATTGACCATATAGCTGAACTATCTTTTGTTTGAGACTTTTGCCTTTTGGTAATTAGTACAGTTATGGTGATTTACTACTTACTTTAGAAGTAAAAATACCACTTGCTTTAATTTATTTAATTTTTTTGCTACTTTTATGGCAAATCATGTTTACAAATTAACTCTCTGTGAAAATATTTAAATCCATTATTACAATAAAACATTATTTAATACAAGTAGTGACCTTTTCATTAGAAGAAAACAATATTCAATTTTAAGGGTGCCTTTTACCCTTAGATTAATATCCAGAATATCATAATAATTTGTCCATGCTATCAGCTATATTAAGTAATTATAAGATCCCTATGCTAACTACAAATCCAGGGGTCCCTTACTTAACGTTAATCCTACTAAAATTAGTGTTAAGAAATCTTTCTGATGAACTATAAATACTGAGATATTGTGTAATAGACTAATGTTCGATGCCTATTTAATGACTTTTAGTTTAAAGTTGAATCAACACTGTAAAAATCTCATATGTTGAATTTCTAGCTTTACTGGTGCAGAAAGACCTTAGATGCCCCTAGTGCATATATATTTTATTTATTACCAGCCGACCTCTTATATTAAATCCATTGACTTGCGAGGACTATACAAACCAACAGCAGTGAGGGGCAAGTGGTTTGAAATTGAATGGAGTAGTATTCAGTATCCATCGAAATATTAGGTTCAAGCATAAGTTGACAGTATTGGTACCTCACACATATACACATATCCATGCAGTGACATACTGAAATCTCTCTCATTGATTAAATGGTCTGTCACTCTTTAGTGCTCAGGTGGCCAGTATAGTCAAGTCATTTATATTGGTGCTCAGGTTTTAAAGGCATATGTCAAACATTCTTTTTTTTTAATGTGTTTATTTAAGGTCGTCGCCGGAAAGCCCATATGGGCGACCGTACACTCAGCCATCCTGAAGCGTCCCGCCGAGATTTTTCGTGGATTTTTTCCAGCTTTATTGGTGGAGGAAGATCCCAGGTGCCCCTCCGGGCATTATTTCAGACACAAGCGGTCACCTGGGTAGAACCACCGACCTTCCGTAAGCCAGCTGGATGGCTTCCTCACATGATGTATGTCAAACAAGAAGTCAAAGTGTCTATTTATAGCACTTGAAGTAAACCTAGTATTGTCCAGATTAAATTATGTACAAGTCCAAGCCATTTAGCAAAGTAACAATTAAACAAGTTTATGATAATAAATTTAAACTCAAAATCAATTGTCAATCATAATACTAAAGATTCTATTTTCTCAAAAGCATGCTAAATCCTAGAGTCATAAACTTTTATTTTAATCTTACAATAAGGAATAACAGAAACTTAAGTTATTGATTGTTGCTTCAAAGACAATAAAATCTAAGAGAAAACAAAAACCTTCAATATATCTTGGAAATTCACAAACGGTCTGTATGTCATATTTAATTTTATTATCCATATTCAATTCAAATCAATTTACAAACTGGGGCAAAACAGCATTTCACAAGCTGGTAAAAAACAAACTCAGGAAAATCAAGCAAAGAACAAAATCATGACAGTGCTCTGAGGTTGCTATAAGCATATTTGTATCATAGTTTGGGGACCTTTCTGTTGAAAATGTGTCAGAGTTAAATTGTATACATATACATGCACAGTGCGGTAACTGGAGTGCGGGTATCAGTTACCCGCACTCCAGATCATGCCCATTGATTGGTTCATTTTTGCTGGGGTTTACATATTGTGACGGCAGAGAAAGGGAAAGCGACAGACATGCCATATTCAGATGTTCGTTCATTGGTTCATTTTTGCCGGGGTTTCATATTGTGACAACAGGGAACGTGTTTTTATGTTTGACTATGATACAAAAGAGAAAGAACACCAAAACACTCGGCAATCTGATTAATACTCGGGGGCTACGCCCCCTCGTACAAATCAGATAGCCTCGTGTTTCGGTGCTCTTTCTATTACGTAGAAACAGGAGTTACTAGAACCTGTGTGTAACATGCATAGAGAGTGCTGGAATCTGGCTCCGCTACAAAACATAATTGTATTTTAACATGATACAAGGTTAACATGAGATGATGATGAAGTTACCTCTATAGTAGTTTTCTGTATTCTTTTTTCTCTCAGGAAATATGTACTGGTATTATCTTGTTATTTCATATTTAACTTGGTTGATTCTATAATACTTGTATAGACAACATTTTTAGTGAGGTAATTTTATTGTTAAAGTACATGTACAGTATCATACAGTATATTGATCATAGTTTCAAAACTATTGCTTAACAGTTTATAGATATTATAGCCACTTTTGTTGTGTCTGTCATAAACAAAATATATAATGAAAATAGTATAAATGACTCCCAAAATCTAAAATCTTTAAGTAAACATGCAAACAATAAAGTTTTATTTCGAGGGCAACACTGGCTTGAGTTTAAAGTTTGAGTTCCAGTGTGAATGACAAATAAAGTGACCATTTGCCAAATGTCCAACACAAGCTTTTAAAAATTAACAAATAACAACTGTGGAAAAAAGAAAGTGACCCTTTAGTAGCAGCTTGACCCCAAAGATGATGCCCACATACCTGTTTAAACAATTGAAATGCAGAATCTTACTTGTTGTTGTTTTTGTTTAAACTTCTATATTTGCATGCATGGGAAATCCAAGACTGTCAAAAAATGTGCCACAAAACATTGCTCAATAAAGATAATTAATACTTCAAATAAAAAGTTTCACAAAAACACTTTCCAATAATACTGTTTCAGATATGAAAAATATGACCTCTTATAAAACTACTTGCAAATCAAATACACCTTCTAAATGTGTCAAACTCAAAATATTCTCAAAAATTTTTTTTACCATAAATTTAATTATTTGCAAAAATAACTATAAATAATAAATGTAAATTCTATTTAGATCAAATTAGTAGTCCAGAAATAACCTCTCACCAAAGTGTTTGCAAGAATATAATAGAACAAAAATAATCTCTACCAAAAAAAAATATACAAAATTTTAAAAAAAAATAACCCCACATCCCAAAACAAAAAGATCGCTTCTTATAATTACAAGTCATTTACTTTAATTCCTTATTTTTTCCCCTTTTCCCTCAAATAAATTTTAACCCCTAACAACCACCACAAATAAATCCCTTTCAAACTATAGAATTTTTGAAAGGAACAAATACCAAAATAAAACGAAAAATTTTAAAATTTTTATATTTTGTTTTAAAATTTTCTCCCTTCATAACCTATTCAAAAACCTTTCATTCAGACCCTTCAAAGTAAAACTACTTTAAAACATTATTTTAAGAAAAAACAGAAGCAAAGAAATGTTTTTAAATAGTCCTAAACTTCTCTTGTAAATAAAACCTGAAATTCAGTTGATGAATTACATGTGCATATACAAATACTAACCTTACAATTTTTAACAGGAAGACCCTTTCTCTCCCCAGAGAAACCGTACAACTTGTCTAACATTCCATTTCTATAAATCCTCTACATTAATAATGAACTTTGTTTTTAGTTAATAACTTAATAACGTCTGCTGGTTGAACACATGGCATTCATATCACTACTGACGGGGATGTTGTGGAAACTTGGTAATAATTTCTGCAACGAGAAAATTAAAATAAAACCTGTTAATTAAGTCAGCAAGTTATATAACGTCATATAACACCAGTTGGTATATCATGAATGGTAAACTATCAAATTTACATCATTAGATATTTTGGCAAGGGTTTTTTTTTCTTGTTGGGGGTGGGGGAATAAATTATGATGAAATTAGCTCCTCCAAAGTAAACCTTTTCATATTTTTTTTCTAATTCAATATTTGACTTTGAAAGTCAATGTCATTATGGGGTCAATGTCGAATTATCAGAGTAACATATAGATGTTAGCTAGAAGACAATATAAATCTACAACAGTCATTATTTTCCTAGAGAAGAGATATTCTCATACAGTCTGGAAGTTTATCAATCAAGTTTGCCAGCCACAAACTCCTTCATTTTGTCTGAAATACCAATGGTACAAACATTTGACTTGTCGGAGGACAGTAACACTCGACTTTTCGAAAAGTTGTCACAAGGGTGTTACATTGAGTATAATAATGCTTACCTATACAAATACATAAAATTGTCCGAAAAGGTACAATTAACCCTTCAGTAGTTATGGAGATACCAGCTTACAAGCAAAAATTAACCTAGAATTTCTAAGTCCAAAAAGGGGAATAATTATGCAAAAAAGCAAATCAGAGTTATGGGACTTGTGCCAATAATCTTAGATAATCACAGAGAACAAGTGTATGAAGTTTCAATCCATTCCCTTCAGTAGTTATGGAGATACCAGCTTACACGCAAAAACTTAACCAAGAATTTCTAAGTCAAAAAAGGGGCATAATTATGTAAAAAACCAGCTTACACGCAAAAACTTAACCACAGGGACGCTGACAAATGGGTGACTACATTAGCTCGATTATTCTGCGAATAGTAGAGCTAAAAAAACATCTATCAATTTCCTTAACTGAAGCAGCATAACCTTGGTTGGGGATTATAACCAACAAGAGTAGAGGCATTGAGTGTTTTCAACTACATACAGAACTCAGCGAAAAAACTCAATCTGGCTTCAAATCTTTTCTAATATTTGAAGAAACTCAACTTTTGCATATAGAAATACTTTTGCAAGGCATTATACATTGTAGGCATATTTCAGAATAATCATTTATAAAATCTAAAATTGTATAGGGCCACCATAAAATTATCTGTTGCCAGTTTTCCAAGTGAATCTAACTTATGTTGCCAGTGAAAATAATATTTTTTTTACATATTGTATGAAAGTTGAAACACATATAGGACTGTCCATGGAGTAGTGTGCTTGACATCTTTACCAGAACAACGATGTCTAGTAAAGGGGAATATTGATTTTTAAGTTCAGAAAAGGAAATATATATTTAATAAATTTCATGCTAAAATAAGGGTACTGATTAATGATTTACAATCATAACAATAAAATAGTCAAGCCAATTCCTTCCAATATTCCTGCACTGTTCATGTAGAAGTCAAACACAGCAAATTGTCCAACAGACTAGTCTTAAATTAATCTAGAACTTTTGAAATAGTCCAATATCTGCAAATATTGCAGCAAGACTATTCTTCAAAAAGTCTTGCTAAAAATAAAGTAAGTATTTTACCCTTGACTGATACATATAATTCTGACTTTTCAAACATGTTTTAAACATGTTTGAGAGGTCAGCAGAACTTGTATCAGTCAAGTGTAAATGTTTCCCTATTAATAACTATTCTAATTTAAAAAGGAGAATAACTCCTGAAAATATTGCTTGAAGGGTTATACCCCTAAACTCACAACAGTTACTGTTCCTTGTCATGATTATCAAGTGTTCTAAGTTTCATGTTGATAGCTTTGAAACCATAACTCCAAAATTACTTACTTAAGAATAATTCTCCTTTATGTTACAACTGGACCTTGTATCATTACTGTTCAAAATGTGACAGAGTTAAATCGTATACATGCACAGTGCGTTAACTGGAGTGCAGGTATGTGTTACCTCACTCCAAAGCATGCCCACTGATTGGCTCGTTTTTGCTGGGGTTTACTTATTGTGACGGCAGAGAAAGGGAAAGCGATAGAAATATCATATTCAGGTTCATTGGTTACCTTTTTCTGAGGTTTCATATTGTTACAACAGGGAACATATTTTTATGTTTGACTATGATACGAAAGAGAAAGAACATTAAAACACTTGGCAATCTCATTAATACTTGGGGGCTCTGCACTCTCGTACAAATCAGATAGCCTCGTGTTTTGATGCTCTTTCTATAACTTGTCATAATCAACAAGTATTTGCATTATTATGTTGATATCATTATAAGAAGTTTTGAATGTTGATATCATTATAAGAAGTTTTGAAATCATTCCACATTACCTAATAGGTAATTTTGACAAAAATTTTAACTTACAGGGGCATAAAGTCTCCCATAACTTTTCAGAATTATGTCCCTTGTCTGACAACTGCATCTTATCATGATTATAAAGTACACCAAGTTACTGTAAATGTAATGATACCTTTTTGTATTTGTTTGAGAAATGGGCTACCTAAAACAACAATGACGATACAGTGATTATTATAGCTCCGCTTTTTCTTCAAAACAGGCAAGCTAAAAATCAATTAATTCAATAAAGAAAACCGGAGGATAATTGGTTTAAGCTATTGATGCCACTTGATGTGGAAGATTGATATTTTCTGAAAGTGCATCTTATTATAATATACATAACATAAATAAATAAAATTGGCAATTTTCCAACATATATTTTCTCAGTACATATTTCAAACGGCTGTCAAAAACTCAGGCAAACTCTCAGGCAAACTATCGTTTGCATACTTTTTACAGTAACTGCATGTGAAAAATGATGGCATACAACTGATGTCTAAATATTTTGCTACAGGTAGTGTTGAAGAACATGTCATAAAAATTGAAATTCATACATGTTTTTCTTTTATTTTTTGACCAGTTACTTTGAGACTTTGAATACCTTCTAACATGTACATAAACAAGATATGTTTGTAAAACATGTATGCCCCCTATCAGCAGCCAATTAGTCATGTGATAAGGTTATTATGCATGACTTCTGACCCAGTGATCAAACAATTAATAAGGGTTATCAAGTATCTACTGGTCATGACCTTAACCTTTGACCCCTTGACCCAAAACTCAATAGGGGTCATCTGCTGGTCACGACCAATCATCATACAAAGTTTGAAGTTCCTAGGCCTAAGCATTTTCAGTTAATTGATCAGAAACCTTTTTTACCTACAAGGTCAATGTGACCTTGACCTTTGACCCCTTGACCCCAAAATCAATAGGTCATCTGCTGGTCATAACCAATCACCATACCAAGTTTGAAGTTCCTAGGCCTAAGGGTTCTTTAGTTATTGATCGGAAACCGTTTTAACATACAAGGTCAATGTGATCTTGACCTTTGACCCCCAAAATCAATAGGGGTCATCTGCTGCTCATGATCAATCACCATGCCAAGTTTGAAGTTCTTAGGCCGAAGTGTTCTTTAGTTATTGATCAGAAACCGTTTTTACTTCCAATGTTAATGTGACCTTGACCTTTGACCCCTTGATCCCAAAATCAATAGGGGTAATCTGCTGGTCATGACAAATCACCATACCAAGTTTGAAGTTCCTAGGCCTAAGCGTTCTTAAGTTATTGATCAGAAACCGTTTTACTTACAAGGTCAATGTGACCTTGACCTTTGACCCCTTGACCCAAAACTCAATAGGGGTCATCTGCTGGTCACGACCAATCATCATACAAAGTTTGAAGTTCCTAGGCCTAAGGGTTCTTTAGTTATTGATCGGAAACCGTTTTTACCTACAAGGTCAATGTGACCTTGACCTTTGACCCCAAAATCAATAGGTCATCTGCTGGTCATGACCAATCACCATACCAAGTTTGAAGTTCCTAGGCCAAAGGGTTCTTAAGTTATTGATTGGAAAGCATTTTACCTACAAGGTCAATGTGACCTTGCCCTTTTACCCCTTAACCCCAATATCAATAGGGGTCATCTGCTGGTCATGACCAATCACCATACCAAGTTTGAAGTTCCTAGGCCTAAGGGTTCTTTAGTTATTGAATCGGAAACCGTTTTTACCTAAGAGGTCAATGTGACCTTGACCTTTGACCCTTTGACCCAAAATCAATAGGGTCATCTACTGATCATAACCAATCACCATATCAAGTTTGAAGTTCCTAGGCCTTAGTGTTCTTAAGTTATTGATCGGAAAGCATTTTTACCTAAGAGGTCAATGTGACCTTAACCTTTGACCCCTTGACCCCAAAATCAATAGGGGTCATCTACTGATCATGACCAATTACCATACCAAGTTTAAAGTTCCTAGGCCTTAAGGTTCTTTAGTTATTGATCTGAAACCGTTTTTGCTTACAAGGTCAATGTGACCTTGACCTTTGACCCCTTGACCCCAAAATCAATAGGGGTCATCTACTGATCATGACCAATTACCATACCAAGTTTGAAGTTCCTAGGCCTTAAGGTTCTTTAGTTATTGATCGGAAACCGTTTTTGCTTACAAGGTCAATGTGACCTTGACCTTTGACCCCTTGACCCCAAAATCAATAGGGGTCATCTACTGATCATGACCAATCACCATACCAAGTTTGAAGTTCCTAGGCCTTAAGGTTCTTTAGTTATTGATCGGAAACCGTTTTTGCTTACAAGGTCAATGTGACCTTGACCTTTGACCCCTTGACCCCAAAATCAATAGGGGTCATCTACTGATCATGACAATCACCATACCAAGTTTGAAGTTCCTAGGCCTTAAGGTTCTTAAGTTATTGATCGGAAACCGTTTTTTCCTTACAAGGTCAATGTGACCTTGACCTTTGACCCCTTGACCCCAAAATCAATAGGGGTCATCTACTGATCATGACCAATCACCATACCAAGTTTGAAGTTCCTAGGCCTAAGGGTTCTTTAGTTATTGATCGGAAACCGTTTTTGCTTACAAGGTCAATGTGACCTTGACCTTTGACCCCTTGACCCCAAAATCAATAGGGGTCATCTACTGG